CAGACTTGCTATCCCCAAAAATCCTGCTTCTCCGTGAGTTACTGTTTGTGTGGATTCTTGCTTGGGGCCTATGGGATATTGTTCGTCAGATATCTCGGGAAATAGGATTAATGCCAGGAAGGCTGTCGAGGGTTCTTCAAGTGAGTTCAGTTGTTGCACAGGACTTTTCTTGATGTCTTCTAAAGTGCTTCGCCACGAGTTGCTCAGAGATGCCGACCGACAGACTGGAAAGCTATCATCCTCAGCAGCTCTGTGCTGAGTTGTTGTACAGACTTAGCATTACAACCTGTGGAAGCAGACCTCGCTGGATGTCTGCACAGAAAGGCGTATGTAATGGACTCTTATTCTGAGTTTTGGTCACATGCCATGTTTTCCGAGGCATCATCGTGGAGCTTTCAGCTGTAGCTGTCAATCGGTCGCTAATCCCCCTGTGTTGGAGTGACTAGCGCGGCGGGTCATGACGGTTCTTCCTGTCCCTAAACTTATGGATGGTAGGCTAAAGGAATACTTCGCTATAGTCATCCCCATATAACTCATATGATCGCCTCTACTCTGCTCCTTGTATAATCTCCTATGACTGGATCAATGTTTGGGATCCTTTATACTTTTTGTGGCATGGGATTCCTTATATTTATGTAGAAGGATACTTTTTTCTTCCTAGGGTACTGTGGGCTAAAGAAGCTATACACCCTAAACCCTATAACTTACTGTCACTATATTCCTATAGCTTCATTCTCTACCAGCCGCCAGCAAGAGAACGAGGCAAGCTTGAGGGGTACCTTGACAGAGTTTTAGAGGGGTTATATAGGGGTTTAGGGTTTAGGCTTTATGTTGGGTTTATAAAGGGGTTGTATATGGTTTATACAGGGTTCATATAGGGTGCTAAAGGGGTTATAGAGGGTTCATATATTTAGGGTTTGTATGTGTTTTTTTTTTAATGGGTTATACAGGTTTATATAGCTTTAGTGTTTAGGGGATTTTGGAGGCAGAGTCCAATGTCGACAGAGGTAAGGTACGGCTTTCCTAGCGGGTCCAATATCCCTTGGCAGGGGAATGTACTGTAAATGAGATGAGGAACCTGAATGCATGCCACAGTTCTTGAACATACCTTCAATTAAAAGCATTACGAGCCTAAATGAGCTACTGTCTAAACTCCTTAAAACGGGGTTATATAGGGGACGACTATAAGGGCTTATTAATAGGAATTGCTAGGAGTTTAGACTATGGCTCAAATGATGCTTCAGATTCCTTCCGTTGTCCAAGGAATCTTTTTTTGGCCTCCCTGGGTTGCTTTAGGGTTATATTAGGGGTTAGGGTTTAGGGTTGGAGATAATGGAAAATGAAATGGAAACTACTTTACACATCAGGGTTTATTTTGGGGGTTATATTGCTGTAATTTGGACTGTGCTGTCTCCCTTAGAGCGAAGGCATGAAGGCCTAGGATCCGTTCTTGTCTGGATAGTGCAAGTAGCCGAGCTGCTACCTAAATTGGGCTGGTCCTGTGATGTCTTCCATCATAAAACTACAAGGCTGCGCAGCTTCCCGTTTCCTCACTTTTTTCCCGAAACGAGCCCCATAATTCTTCCTGGAATTTTAAGCCTGAAAGCCACAGATCAACCAGGCCAGAAACCCAGAAATGCGGGCTGCTTGCCCTCCCACGCTGGTTGTTTGGGGAGTTGTGGGGCCCCGCCGTATGAATGAGAGTGAGCCATCCCAGTGGCTGTTGCAGGTGCCAATCCAGGGTGGAGCGCAGCCGAAGCAGGCTTCGGGCAGGGTAGCCACAGAACAGACGGGAGTTTCTGAAAAATACTGCTTCATGTAATCCTGGAAGGGGGCCCCAGGGTTGCTGAAGGTGCTCTATCGTGAGAGTCTCGCTATAGATACGGAGAGAGTTTTGTTATGCCGTTGTGCGTTTTGTCACGGCCGCAATGCAAAAAGGCCTGGCTTCCCCAGTGATAAAAGTGTTGTTCTTTGTTTGTTGACCTAGATGAGGCTAAGCAGGCTATGTGACATCCTAGCAGGCCTGGCTACCACCAAATAGCCAGAGGAAGCAAGATAAGCCTTTGGACGCAGCATGCTGCAGGAGAAGGTGACTTCTGGCTTCCGGAACAACGCTTGTGTGGCCTTCGAGGTCCGAGGGGATAGTGGAAGAGTGATAGGGGAGGTCAGAGGTCTGGTAGCTTGCAGGGGCCTGCTTTTGTTCTTCGTCAAGGGCTGCGCAAATGTGGGTCATTTTCGCGTTCGGGGCATGCAAGTGTCGCCAAATGTTGCAATTGGCAAGTGCACCGAGAGTTTTGTTCACCTCTCAGTCTGCCAGTCAGGGGGGAAAACTCTGTGTCAGGGAAAGCCAGCCTTTTCGGGAAAACATCAGGCGGTGCCAGGGAACACCAACGCAGGGAGTTCCTGCTTGCCGACATGTGCAAAATCATGTCTCTAAGCTTGCCAACCCCGGGCTCACGGGATCCTCTCAATTGCGCTATGTAAGGAGATGTAAGGAGTTTGGTGCAGAATGACTAGGGGCATGGGTATGGGATAGGCATCAAGGTAAAGCAGGGAAAGGACCCAAAAGTGGACCGCAAAAAAGTGTTCCGATGTGCAAATTGACAATTTCCGTGAGACAGAATCTATTTTGGTCTGGATTCGAAGGCGACGATTTCACAAGGGCCCTACGCATTTGCCCCCAGGAAAGCCTGGTAGAGAAAGATCTTCGCAATTCTCAGCCACCAAAAAGAAACCCGACGCAGGTGATGATGGAGAGGCGTCTCAGACCTCGCCGGCGGCCCTAGAGCTTGCGCACGTCCGATCTGCCTTCATGGTCGAAGCATTCCCCCAACTAGGAACTGACTGTGGTCCTTCTTGGGCCCTTCTTAGAATTCTATATAAGTTTGGGGGAGGGTTGCCTTTCTGAAATCCACCCATGCGAATGGGGGAGGCGGATGGTCCCAGTCCAGATTCCGTGTGTGTCTAGGGGCGCCTGTCAGTATTCGCTGGCTTTTGGCAATGTGAGGAATATTTCTCAGATGTTAAGGACTGTTACATCTTTTTAGACCGATGTCACTCTACCTCAGGATGACTGTGCTATTGGGTGCTGTTCGCACCCAGGCATAAGTATTTGAGGTTGAAGTTGGATACTGGCCCTATTCAGAGATCGAAAATGAAGCGGCAAAGCCCTTAATGTTACCCCCTTATTGTAGACTGTTACTGGGTGGGTTTTAGGGTTTACCCTAAACCCTCAACCCTTAGGGTTTAGGGTACCCAAGGTTGAAGGCTTTGCGAGCCGAGGCTAAGGGTTTAGAGCTGGGGATTCAGAAGCAACCTCTTCCCTTAGTCAGAGCCTAAAGCCTAAACCTTACCCCCCGCCTAAAAAGGCATTCACCTAGACTGTAGCTGCACTACTGGGGGTCAATTTCTTATCAATGGACGGTTATCTTGAACTGTTAGGGTGAGGCAGGCGATGGAAACCCCTACACCCAAAGCCCTAAACCATGCCTCCGAAACCTGGCAAACGAAGACACGAAGCGCAAAGCGCTTTAGCCCTGTACATGCGAAGTCCTGAAAGCGCTGAAATGCCGATCCCTGGGTCCATAAACTTCCAGAGCTACTCATGCTCAGTTGGGAAGGGGATAGAGGATCCCGAAAAGTCGTCACTGTCTAATGCTTATTCTAACCCTTTGTTGTCATACTACTTGTAATTGTAAATACTTTGCCTCTCCCATTCCCCCTCAAGCACCAGTTTGTAACCCCCTGTCGGGTGGCCGCAAAAGGCCCGCAAACAAGCTCAAGCCCTAAACCCGAAACTTAAGCCCTAAACATGAACCCAAAACCTTAAAACCTAATCCTAGACCCTAAACAACTAACCCTCAAACCTAAACCCTACAGCCTTAGCATCTCCCGAAGGCTTCAATGGGCACTCTGGCGATGGGGTGCAGATGATTCCCAGGCAACTAGGATTCAGGGTTTGGGGTTACTTTATACGAGGGTAATGCAACAATGGAAGCTACCATAATGTCTAGGGTTTAGGGATTCAAATTGTACAGGGTCTGTGTGAAAGGTTTGACTGGGTTTGACCACTCTTAGTTTAAACGATATTTTGGGCGACCTGTAGACATAAATTGGTGGTTGCCAGGGGGCAATTGCAGTCTTCCTTTATAGGCATATTTGTAAGAAATCACATTGAATTGCCTTGATATTAGTTTGAGGGCGGGGGAGTCTCATGACCCCTTCATCATTTCTGTAGATCCCTAGGGCGAGTGGGGGGAGCTTTATTTTGAGAAGCCTTCTGGCTTATGGGGGTTTGAAGTGTTGGGCTTGGGGCTTAGATTTTGGTAGCCACAAGTATGTTGGGGGGTTGCATCGGCGTGCAGAGCTATGTGCTCGAGGACCTTGCAAACTTTTTCAGGACTTACAGACGCTTGCAGCCATTCTTAAGAAGTAGAATGTTAAGGCTCAGGCTTTGGGATTCAAATCTTGATGGCGCCTGCACACTGTGCATAGGGTTACGGATGTGGAAGTGCAGCAGCCTGACACATATGCGCGCTGATGACGCGTGCGGATGTGCAATCCCACTGTGATGATTGATGCAGTTCCTGAGGAGTCTTAAAAGGTTGGGTGAGGACCAGCAAGCAGGTAGGGGCCCAGATCAGGGGCCCATGGTTAGGACCATTCTCGACTTAATTCGTACATCTATTTTTTTTGGTGTTTGTTTGGGGGATAGTAAGTAGACTTACTAAGTCAAAACAGCCTCCAGCAGACCGTGTAAGCATCCCCAAGTTTCAGTATATGAGTTGATCTAAAACCTAAACCGTTACGATGCTTGAAATTCAACCGGTCTCGGCTTCTAAACCTCAGAAAACCCAACAAGCGTTATTCATGCATGTGAGCCATGAACTGGGCAAGGGGGGGTTTCCAAGAATTACGGCTAAGTCAGGCGTAGGACCTTTTGGGATAAACAGAAATCCTTCGCTTTTTGGACATGCTCTGAAGTCAGTTTTGAGCGATAGGCGGTATCACCTCCTTACGCGCTCCTCCGATCCAATCCAGCAGAGCCTGCCAGGAGCTCGGACTGTGGTGGGGGTTTCCAAAAACTGGGATCATCCTGTATACCTTAAACCCTAAAGTTACGGAGTTCGAGAAGGGGCTAATGGTACTGTTGGCATATTGGGGATCTCTGATAGGTACCAGACTAATTAGTAGCACCACCCCACAACCCAGCCTGTGATTGGCATTGGGGTGAAAACATGATTCCAGTTGATCAGGCACTTTCCGCAGGCGAGGGTGTTTGCGTGATAACGTGCAGGTTCTAGCCACGTTGCAATCTCCTCCCGCTAACGCCCCGCCCCCACCCCGTAATACCTGCTGTTCCAGTTCTATAATAGTTCTATATTGGGGTTATTGAATAAAAGAGGGGTTTTCGGCGGAATATACTCCAATTATATAATCGTTCTATATGGGGGTTATTGAAAAAAAGGGTGGTTGTGGGGGTTAATCACTAGAGGAAGCAGATGAGATCTGAGGAGCCGGCATGTGCTCTGGCAAAGCGCACACCTAAGTCGGAATCGTTTGGTATATGCGGTCAACCTACATAAAGAGGTCCATGGGACGTAGTGACTACTTATCCCTGTCTGTTGATCCCTAACTGGATTGAAAGCCAGTTACGTATAGTGACTGTATTTCGAGGCTCTTTTGGTTAGTCAGGCCGGTGTGTCAAAACTATGTCGACCACTACTGGCCCTAAGCGCCAGACCCAAAACCATGGAAACCCTAATTATTGCTGTATTACTTGTGTATTACAAGTATCTTATTACCATATTATCGCTATAGTTGCTTAGTATACTACCAAGTAGAAGGCCGGTCGGTAGTTCTTCCCTCGGCTCCTGGCGTATTCTTTCGTGTTACCTGGACTTGGCTTGAGGGTTTATATGGTTGATACGGTTTATGGGGTTTGGGGAGGTGGTACCGCCATAGGAGATCATTGAGGAGATCTGGCAATGACGCGCTATCTTCAGATAGCAGTGAAGGAATGGGCCCTGCGAAGTCCCTGTAGCAATACTAGCTTGCAAGCATTGGCACCTGGCCCAGTAGCTCAGTAGCAGCAGAAACGAACACCGAAAATGGTGGTGGCTGCAACAAATAGGCTTCATAGCAGTACTTGTGCTTTCAGAAAATTGTTTGAGTTCAGAGCTTTCATGACAGCAGTAGAACAGCACTGGCTGGATTATCTCTCTTAATATCACTCCTAGCCTATCCCATCAGTGTACCGTAGGAACGTTAGCGCCTGCAAGGCCGTACCTTGACAACTCGCAGGCGTTTGCTGGTGTGGGATTTCGGGGCGTTCACTGGGTGAGGCCACAACAAGTAGAGTAGATACCTTAGGCTAGTGAGAAGCACTGAACCCTGATAATAAAAGGATTAAAGCAAGCCCACCCCCCCCCACCAATGACATAGGACCCTATGATTATCATGATGGTTATAGGGTCCTAATTTTTGGGGTTGGGGGTTGCCAAAGCCCCTTATAACCTGAAGGGCGCTGGGGGTAGAGTAGAGTGTAGTGTTGAGGATTTACGTTTGCTTCTCAGATCGGTGACATGAGTGTGCCAGCTTTCCAGAGGTCGCGTTTGTATTCAGAGCCGGATGCTTGTTGTCATCGTTTTTGGCAGCATGTTGCTGCGGTGGGGCACGTCTCCACGCAGAGTGTTTGATTACCTCATGAGTTTGTAGATTTGGTTAGCAGCATGTGTTGAACTGCCTGGGAGATGTACAGTTGCCAGTATCAGGTAGGGACTTCAGATCCCCAGACTACAGGACTGTGGAGCTCACAGTCTGGGGGGAAGGGGTTCCGCTGAAGCCACGACTCTTTTCAGGGTGCATTTTTTGGGGTGGGGAGGAATCGTTTCTGAAATGGTCTTTAATGCCTGAGGGCTTCCTGGCGATGGAAGTCTTCTTTATTGCTGGTGTAGATCAAGAGCCCAGTGGAGACGCACTTGTGGCTAAACAGTTTGTTTGGGCTCTTCTGGCAATTGCTTCAGGCTACCGAAGTGGCATGCGTTTTGTCGTTCTGTGGCGTATTGCAAGACGACATGCTCGGAACTTTCAATCATTTCGTGTTTGCATCGGTAGTAACACTGAGACAGCCTGGATCAGCTAACAGCATGCGCAGCCAGGTCATGAGCATGCAGCAAGATGATCTGTTTCGAGAACGTGCCGCGCTGGAGACCAGAGTTCTCTTCATGAAAGGGATGGGAGCTGCAGCTGAGGATTTAAGGATTATAGTGGTTATAATATGTGGTTTTAAAGAGATATACAGCGATATATGTATGCAGGGATACTTTGGGTTTGAGGAAGCCTTTTCACCCAAGGTTTAGGGCTCAGATCTTAGGTTGCATATGAGACCTCTTTCGCAATTGGAACCAGGGGGTAACGGCCACGTGTGGCATGAAATTGTAAATGGTACTTCCCTAAATAGGGGGACCCAAGTATAGACTGCACAATGCTACACACCTGTTTCTAGGTACCCTCCAAGAACCTACGCTCTCTTGCCCCATAAAAATATGAGGGAACCCCTCCCAATTGTGCGCAGTACATGTTAAGCCTGAGCCACCCCCGCCCTTCAAAGCCCCAAAGCACTGGTGCTTAAGAGGGAGTGGGGGAATGAATTTAGGTAGCACGGTTTAGGGTTAAGGGTTGAGTGGGGGAGTGAATGTAGGTACCGCACTTGAGGGTTTAATTAGGGTGGGGGGTGTGAATATAGGTAACATTGAAGACGTAGATATGGGGATTATATCCCTTCAGCACCAGGAAGCAAAGCACCGACGAATCTGGAGTTCTAGCGTCAGGAGACCCCCTGATCATATTGCAATCATTCTTCGACATCCCTTTCTCCCAAACTACTGAGCCGTCAGCCCCTAAACCCAAAGAGCTAATATGTCCCTACCATACCTTTCTATAATCCCATATATCCTTGGATGTCCCTATATCCTCTTTAAGCCCGAAGCCCTAAACCCTTCATTCCTAGCAATGAGATGAGAGGACGTTCTGGAGATGGCGGCTACTGGCACTCTGGCCATGCGCAAGGCGCGCAAGTTAAGGGTTAGGCTTAGGGTTTAGGGTTAAAAGGTTTAGTCTCCTTGACAGTTAGCTAGGACCTTAGACCCTTAACTTTTTGGGGTGAACATTATAGTCCTATTACATGCACCGAAGCACCGAAAAGCAACTTTTACCAGGGGTGCTACGTGCCATGGTGTAGTCTAGAGTTTGGGGTTTCTTTCAAGAACAGCGCAAGTGTGTCCTTCAAATCTGGTACCAGTCTGCCACCCATGTTGAAGTTTGCTGGCTGGCAGGGGCCGAAGCCAGACTGGTCAAAAGTGCCAGTGGAGGCGGGCCGATTTCGCATGCAACGGGATTTGTGTTTCGTGCTGAAAGCAGTCGAGTTCTGGGCGTCGGACGTGAACCTTAGCAGAGGGAACCTGGAGGTTTGGGCGATTCTGTTGAGCTTTACGTGCCAGGATTGTGACAAGGACTACCTCACTTTGAAGACTGGGAGTTGGAAGGCTAGTGTTGAAGGTCTTTTTTTCTGGTGGGTGGTGGCCTGCGCTCTACAGGAGGACCCGTCTCTTCGCCTTGTGGGAAGTGTTGCTGAGGCCACCGTGCGCCTAAGCCCCACACCTCACCCCCAAGGCCCTAAACAGTTCAGGCTAAAGAAGACTCATGTGTGATCCTTCCACAGGTAGGAGAACCCAAGATAGACCCCAGAATACCATAGTCATCCAAGAAAACTACCCTTAAGCTTGGGAACTCCTGCATGGGGAACCCCACCAAAAAGGTACCTCATCTCCAGCTGTGTCAGACGTAAGGACGACAGTCCATTGCATAGCATCCTGCTGCGGAAAGAGGAGGAGGACGAACCAGGGGTTTCGGGGTCTAGGGCTTAGGGATTCGCACAGACTCTGGCAGGGGTTGGGGGCTGTCCAGGGTTCAGGGCCTGAGACAAACCTTTCAGGATTTTAGGTTTGGGGGGGCTGGAGCTTCGAGCATGAGTCGAAGGTTTTTGGTTTAGGGTGGATAGCGTACCACATAGGCTGTGGGAGTATCGCCCGCAAATTCTCATTGAACACATGAGGCCTCGCATGAGGCCCCTTTGGAAAGGTCAGCAGCCCGCATAGTATGGGACCGTTTTGGGGGTTTTAGGTCAGGGGGGAGGGTAAGCAAATCCAGCCTCTAGAGACTGTTAATGGTCTGGAGTGTTGGGGGCATGGTTTAGCTGTCATTTCTTGCTGCCTGTAAGACGGGAATGGACCCATAGGAGCTACGGTCAACAATAGGCTTACCATGTGACCGTTACACGTTAAGGGTGGACAGGGATCCTTTTGGGTAGTTTAGGATAGTCCCTAACATAGTCCCGAATAGGAACTCATGTCCATCAAGTATATGCGAAATCTTCACTGCAGCTCGCATGGGAGCCCATGCATGCTCCCCAATAATGTGGTGTTTTCCATGTTGTCTCCAAGCCCTAAACCCTATTCGCTACCGACAATTTGCAAGATTTGGAGAGGCAACGGCTATGAACCCTAGACCCCCCAAAAAAGGCACCTAAAACCGTGAACCCAACAGCCGAAAGCCTAAGCCCTGAACCAAATCTAAACCTCGCAGCTGCCCACCTTGACTTCTGACCCCGAAATGATGGGTGAATAGGCGTTGAGGAGGTATGGGTACCTTGGAGGTCTAGGTAGGACTTGAGCATTTACACAGGGCAAAATTCTGGTTTGGATGGGTTCGGCAGAAGCAGAAGTGAGGCCTCATAATCACCGCGGCTTACTTGCTCCCCAAGAAGTCCAAGCCACTCCCAATTCTGAAACCCGTCAAACTTAAAACGCAAGCCTCAAACCCAATATGTCTCCCTTTCCGCTCAACTACAGCGACCTAAGAATAATGTTGCCCTCCCGTCTACCCCAAAACCTTATTGTTTAGTCTGAAAGCCCTGCATTAGCGTCTCGAGCCTTGAACCAAACGCCCTAAACCCTGTAAGTATCATACGAGAATGATACAACACTTTGCTTTTCGGTGTCTAAGTTGTGTACGGGAGAACCAAAGTGCCCTTGCTGGCGATGACTATTGTAGGGTTTGGGGGTTGGGTTAACCCGTATCCCCAAACCCTAACCCCACCCCCAAACTTAAATCCCTGAGCCCTAAACACTCAACCCTAAACACTAAACTCTAAGTACCAGACCCCTAAACTCCACAACCCCTAAACCCTAAACCCTAAAGCCTAGACCCCCCAAAATCGTCTTGTTACCAGCGGCCTCTCGCGAGGAGCTCCCTCCTCCACCAGAGGAGCCGGAGCAGAAAACAGTTACCATGCCGGGGGCTTCCAGACAAGGTATTAGGGTTTTTATAGTTTATAGGGATGAGGAGTTAGGGTCTAGGGATTAGGGTTTAGGGTTTTGGGGCTGGATTAGGTAGGATTGTAGGAATTAGGGTTTAGGGTTCAAGGTTTTCATTTTTTGCCCGCATAGTCCATATGAGCTATTGTCAGGCTTACTAAGGGACCATTACGGTCGGACATAGGGTCCCGGTGGTAGTTTAGTATGGTGGCTAATCTTTTCCCTGATAGGAACCCAGGCCTACTTATCACATGAGAAATATTCACGACTGCAGTCCCCAGCATGTCCCTGCATGTTCAAATCGAAAGTTGTGGCCTTAAAATACCACGGCACCTGACACTTAGGGTACCAACAAAGGGACGGCAACCCTTCGTGCAGATGCCGGAAATGGTAGTACAGTAATATTGTCCCCCTCTAGTCCAGATATAGCTGCGCATTGTACCCCTCAACCCCATACTATATCCCGAAACCCTATTGTAAAGTTTAGGTTCTGTATCAAATGGGGGGGATTCTGGAGTTTTGAGTTTAAGGTTCATGGGAGCGAAAAAAGGAGTAAGAGTCAGCTTAGGCCAGGGGTTTTGAGGCCAAGGCATTGTGGAGGACTGGGTTCAGTGATGTAGCATAGCCATTGAATTCTTCAATCAGAAAGCTTTTGCGCAAGACGGCATTGAAGACATCTCATGATTCTTCATCAAATCTGTCTCAGTGCTTTACAGAAGTTGCCTGCAACAACCATATGTGTATGCGTGTGTGACCTCAGGCCGTTCATGACTACCCGTGAAAAGCTCTACAGGAAGCAGCAGGAGGAGGAGGCGATTTCACAGGTACTGTTGCAGGATTAAGGGTACGTAAGATGGTGCAGGGTTTCTTCCAGCAACCATATGGGGCCGATGGGTTGTTGCACAGACATGGTTGTAGCAGCATGGTCAGCTCCTGAACCTCCACCTAAAGTGCGGTGGAGTTTGGGGGTTGGGTTTTTGGAGGGCTTAGATGCTACAGCATCAGGAGGCCTGTTGAAGGGGGCGTTTGGCCCATCATAGGCAAGGGGCCCTTCCCATGAATTGAGAGGAAGGTGCGGGAGAAAACATGGAACAGGGTATAGGTGTGAGGGGTTTTGTTGCTCGTGCGGTGGATGGATGGATTACTGGGTTTGCAGCCTATGGACTATGACTATGGTTTTGGTCCATGTAGTTTTCTGGAGTTCAGTGTCCTTAACTAGGACTGGACTTTGGCTTGTTTTCATCTTCTTCGTTGTTGGGTCAGGCAGGGCACTGGGAGGTTTGAGGCCCCAACAACCAAAGCCCAAAACATCAGCCCACCACCCCAAAAAGTTGAGCCTCATGCCCGCTCCAATGCAACGCATGACCGGTTCAAGTTTGGTCATGGAAAGCCGGGTTGCCGTTAAGGAGCTTAAAGCATGTTACTACTATGAGGAAACCATGTATTTTTGCATGGTTCCCTATGTAGTGAGTTCTTATCGTGAAGCAACATGCGGGATGGCCAGTGTCCTTATGGGTGTCTTGGTTATTGCTGAAAACAGATAGCTCTATGCTGCTGAAGCCCAATATAAGGCGCGCATCATACACAAGCAATGTCAGCTTGAATATGTCCTAATAATAAGGACCCAAGCGTGGGGGCATGCTTCATAAACATATTTAAGCAACTTGGCCACCTGGACGCCCAAGCCCGAAATCCTCAACCCTAGGCCTGGAATCGTAGACTGTGACCTGACAATATCTTAGACCCCGCACCCTAAACAAGTCAAGCCCTTAACCCTACCAACCTATGCTTACCGATGCTACTATAACCCTTAAACCCTGATCCCTACACCATGAATCCTACCCACACCCCAAATCCTACGTAACCCTTATACCCTAAATCCTAAACCTTTGACAGGAGCGGCAGGCCGAAATCCGAAATGTCGACTTCACAAAGCGGGAGCTACGCCGAAAGGCTCGGGCCGCAAGTGAGGATGTGGGGGGGTTTAGGGCTTTTGATTTAGGGCCATTTAGGGCTTAGGTTGTAGGGGCGTAGGGCTTAGGATTCAGGGTGCTGAAGCTTGGGGAGGCTTAGGGAAGAGGATGTTGTGTTTTTCGACAAAACAAAAAGAGGTGCCCTCATTACAATCCCCCTTATACTTGGGGGGTTGTTCTAAAGCTAAAAAAGGGAGAGGCCTTTGAGATTTTATGTCCTCGAAGGGTGATCGTAACCCAACAGGGAACCTGCACGACCCCAAGACCAAAACCCTGAACCCTAAGCCCGCAACCCTGAGCATAAGGGTTGGGGTGCCGTGGAGGGATCATTTGTTGTTTGTTCTTGTTTTCGGCGGAGTTTAAGGAGCGGAAGCTTCAGAATGTCATGGCTTCTTGTAGTCCCTGTTACTAGCTTTATCGTTATGCAAAGTCTTAGAGAACCATTTGCTTTGAACATATGGTCACCATCCTACGGGTGGCATCTGTCCAGTGGAGGATGATAGCGGCGTCGGCAGCCCCCTCGCCTAGATTCGCCTAGTACATTTCTCATACATGATCCTGCAGCCTTCCAAGGCCGGCCTTAAAGATGCTTGCACGCGTTAACTACCACCTTTTGCCACCCGCATGAAGTTTCTCTCTACCGCAGCTGCACTGAGGTGCGAAGCCTTCCGGCAGAGCTCTCGGCTTTCCCGGTCATGCATGCGCAGAGTTTTGTTTGTGCACCGTCCGCTCTGCACAGTTGACGCACCGGCGGTCAGGAAGCAGCGGTCAAGGGATGAAGGTCTGGGGAGGCCTGGTTGGAGGGGCGAAGCCGAGGGGCCTGGCGGGCCAGGGGTTTGGGAGGGGCTGAATAGGCCGCAGATCACCAAGCTTAGCGTGCCTCTCTTTCCAAACACCTCTGATCAATTGTCCACAGGCAACCTTATAGCAAGACTAAGCAGGCTGCCCTCTCTAAGTTCTTGGAAGCCCTCATACAAATCCTCCAAAGTACCCTGCCATGCCCACAAATCTCCCTTTATCCCGGGGGATGCTTACCGGCTAAGTGGCCCTCTTTGAGAAGCCCCCATGCATGGGCTTTTCTCAAGACCAGGCGATGTAGCCCCAAAGCATTTCGCCCCTCATTCAACCTAATTCTCCTTTCCCTGAAGCCCCAAACCCTAAAGCTGTTAGATTTTTCTACAAGCCCTCAGCGAGCAAGTAGGCAGCCATTCTCGCGAGAATCATCCCGCCAGGTTTTGAAGGATCAGGGTTTAGGGTTTAAGGTCTGGCGACCTAAAATAGATACCAAAGAACGGAAGAGACAATGGAACATGGAACGGACATCTGGCTGTTTTGGGACTGTCTGCTGGAATCAGGGATCAAAATTGAAGCGTGCGTTGCAGGGTCTCAAATGCCTCTGGAAAAGTAGCAATAAGGGTCCTAAGAGCCCATACCAGGGGTCATTTTGTAGCCTTACATTCAGACAGCCTTTTCGGCCCAGGTCCTAAAGACCCGATTCGGAGAGATTCCAGACGATCTCTTCGTCACCCCTGGCTACCGTGCGCCGGCCCAGGCGACGTTTCCTCCCCATTCTCTTGAGAGTTGTCAGTAGGGGTTGGGGTTCAGGTTTTAGGTTTTGGGCTCATGTGTGGGATTTTTCCCATCGCGGCGTTTTAATTTAAAGGTATCGGGCGTGGTGGGATCTGGGAGTTCCGGTGTTTGGCAGCGGTAGGTCTCAGGAGCTAGGTCGCAGGGTTAGCGCCGAGCAGAAAGGTTTTTGGCAACCATCTTACTTGCTGCTTCTTAGTAGGAAATATGGAATATAAGATTCTCCAAGCCCCCCATATATTATATTCCAGTATACCTTGCTAAGAACCAGTAAGCTTACGGGGTAGGGAGGCGTGCCATCTGCCCCGGCCAAGACCCATTAGTTGGGGGTTTCCTGAAAATAGGGCTACCTTTTGGGGGGTTCTTATAATAAGGATTATAGCGTTTTGGGCTTTGTAGTGGGATTCTGTCCCAAAAGTAGGGCTACCTTTTTGGGGGTCCTGATAATAAGGATTAGAAGATTCTGGGCTCTATATTGGGATCCCTCTATTTTGGGAAGCTGTTATCTACCCGTGGTAGTCATGGAGGAAGTCGAAACGGCCTCGAAGTTCAGCCATTAAAGTTGAGGAGCGTATCAACATGTGAGCTATAGTCTAACCTCCTTTAAAGGGGCTTATATAGAGGATTCTATAGGGGATTTCTCGAGGGGTTATTAGCTCATGTACATGTTTCAGTCATTTTCTACCTGCGGCGATCTTTTGGAGAAAGGGAGACATTCAAGGAAGAGTTGTGGAGGCTTCCTCTTAAGGATAGTGAGGAAGTAGATTTGACCAAGTTCTATGTGAAGCCTCGATGCCGATTCTTTTTTCTGGTAGATTCCATTTTCTTTTCCATTATTGCTATTAATCCCCAGATAACATTTTAACAAAAAGAAAAGGGGGCCCGAGGAAGCCGGTGCAATGGTGGTCCCAACTCACCCAATCCCGCTATGAGGAACTATTTCCTTGAGGTGTTGGGTTTAGGGTAGTCTAGCCCCATGATACTAATCCTAGTAATAGTATCAGTAGTAAGTCAGTAGTAGCAACAGTAACAAAAGCAATAATAGCAACAAAACGGTAATAGCAAGTATTGTATCAATATAATTCGGCTGCGTCGCAGTTTGCAAATAAAAGTGATATCCTGAACTTTCACCTCAAACTAAATCCTTACCTGGACCTCCCCAATACCATAATAATCGCCTTGAATCCGAAGCTTATGCGTATACAGGATTTTTTAGCTATGTTAGAGGGTCCAGGTATGCAGGTTCCCGTACAAATTACTGGTTGTTGGTATGGAGTGGTGGCAGGGTTCTTCATATTCCTACTTTCCAGAGTCTTTTCCATTCCTTCATTTCCCCACCAACCATTTGCAATCCTAAACCCAAACCCCAAACTGGCCGTCCCCCTTCCAGGCGGCCCATGTGAAGTTCAGCAGCAAGCATGAGATGAGGTCGGCCGATATCTCGAGGCCACTCCATCTAAGATCTATAGTCCCCCTCAAGTAGATTGAATTTATCATAAGATCCCCATATACCCTATATTCTATCTACTTCAAGGGGACTATACCTGTTTAGGGTTTGGGGCTTCGGGTTTAGGGGGAGGCTGGGTAAGGAGTTGGAAGTAGGGCTACGAACACCGCAGTTTGGGTTCATAATCTACTTATGGCCATAGATACGCTACCTGTAAGTCCCATTGCGACTATCCGCGGGCTCGAACTAGGGCCTTCCTCGGCTGTTTTTTCTAGGTTGTTCCTTATATAGTCTTTCTATAACATATTCCCTTATTCCCCCATATACTCCTGATATTATGTATCCCCTCACCCTACTAAGCCTGAGGAACTGGGTTGCTGTTAAGGAACTTAGTAATTTACCATAATCAGGATATGTAGTGAATAACCGGGCTTCTTCATTATAATATAGTAAGCTAGTTTGCGTTCCTTAATAGTAACCCAGGCTATTTGGCTGACAAGAATTGGGAGTGTGCGGAACCCGAAGCCCAACGCTGGGAATCCGGGAACTCAGCCCCGGGAAGCTGAACAATGAGAGAGGAAAAGGTGATTATTTGGGGTTTGGGGTTTAGGGTATTATCGTAGTCGTTATGAAGGGATCTATAGGGGTGCTATGCCTGTTGTACTAGGGTACCTACAAATATATGGGAGAATCAAACGGACTAGCAGACGGAAACTGAAATGGACACTTGAAGTATTAAAGTGAGGTTACAAGGATTTTTAGGTAGGGGAAAACCCAGGTCATAAAAAACCCAGGTCATAACTAG